TACGCGTTACCCTCCCGCTGCGGGGCCGTGGCGGGAGGGGGGTGGCGGTGGTGCCTGCGGGGAGTGCTGAGGCAGGTAGGGCCCGGGCCTTCCGCGTTGAGCTCAGTAGCGTTAGGCTGTAGCCTGCCAAGTAGCGGCCCGAGGTGATCGCCTGACGGAGTCTGTAGCTCCCCAGGTGCTCGCTGCTGTGGAAATGGAGGAAGGCTGTCTGGATCCAAGCAGCTTTACAGGCTAAATATAGGTTGGCATGTCTTGCAGCGTCGGTACGCTAACTTGCAGGAGTGCTGCTCTTTTTAGAAAGTTCAAGAAGACTATATATAAAACTCTGTGGCCCCCAAGAAGCCTGGGGGGAGAGGACCGGAAATAATTTTTAAGTACGTTTGTGGGTGAAGTGGGGTGATTGCCAAAGAATATTGGCTGTGATGTATAAATAACATATTTTTGACAGCATTACTGTGACTTGTGTAACTGTATGGTTGTTTTGTTCTTACTTTCAGATGCTGCTGGACCAGGGCTGATCGTGTTGCCAAGCAGAGTGCTATTTTAAGCAGCTTGCGCAGGATGATGGAAGATTTCAGAAATATTGCTGATGAGACGTTTCCAAGCTTCTTGGGCCATTCACTGAGTAGCAGTGCAAGTGTCATTTTTGAAAATGTTACTATTTCCTCAAACCCTGGCTTACCTGTTGCAGCTTCAACTGTTGCCAGAAGTAAAACGGGCTGTGACAACAGGTGAGACTATCAGTTAGTAGCACTTAATAATATAAAAAACAGTTGACTGGTTAGAAACATTTAATTCTGGAGCGGAAAAATTCTTTTGATAGGTTATTTGGTAGATGATAAAACTATTTACTAATCAGTAGCATACTAATCAGCAAACATAGGATTGATTGTATTAGCAGTGAAAAATCTGCATTACACTCATAACTCATAAATACTTAACTTTTATTAAAATTACTCTTTAAAAGAGGATTTTAGTTTTTAGACTGATAACAATCAAATTTCTTTTAACTCAACTCTTCAGCTTAGTATACTCAAGTTTGAAGTTATATAGAGAATGGTATGTTTTTTACATGTGTGTTCTCTTAACTCTATTAACTTACCTGAATCTGGCTCATTTTAGAAAGGGTAGTGTAAGAACTAATGTTATGGATATGAATGAAAATTTAACACGATTTATAATGATTTGTTCAGCAAGGAGTAGAGCAAAGAGTAACAACTAGAAGCCTTTGCTCACTTAACTGCTGTCCTGTGACTTAACAAGAAGTAAGATCAGACTTTTATACCCTGTCTTTCCAGAAGTGTGCGTTCCAAATGGGACAGCACTACCCACTAAAAATGATAATGCGGTATTTCTCTAAAGAACCACAGAGAACTGGAGAGGATCATTCTGGGTACATACGTGTACCT